TCAAGTGAAACGTCGAATTTTAGATGATATGTTGAGTGTTGGAAAACACGAAGGACTATGCTCTTTTGAACAGGTAACTGAGAATGTCTTTCCTGATAATTTTCTTTTCGTCTACTTTAAGATTGTGAACGGAGCATCGTTTTCAAAAGCTTGATAATATTTGCATAAAATAACTCACTTTCAAGCGATACATCTTCACTTTCATTCGAAAAATAATAATTTGCGTAACGAGAAATGGTCACATCGTGACAAAATCTTTCACATTGAAGTTTTTCTGCACTTACGTTTAATTTCAGCTTTAGCTATCTATTAACTCACTCATAAACAGTTTGCTTTGAAACAGATAATGGGCTTGTTTTAGGTCAAGGATATATACGTGAGCGCGGAGAGCTTTTCATTGGAGAACGGTTTATTGACACCGACATTGAAAAGTAAACGAGTGGAACTGAAGAAACGTTTTGCAGCGCAGCTATCTCAGATGTATGCGAAACTTCAGTGACTTCTGATAAATTCCGACGATAACACTGATTCTGATAAAATTGGAGAGTTCATTTTCGTTGTCAGCGAATGGCTCTAAGTGAACTGATCGGCTTTTATTTAGAATATATAATATCTATTCGTACGATAAGCACTGAAGCATATATCATATAATATTATTTACTGCGGTGGTGAAAATACTACCCCAACAACGATAGTTGTTGCGTAGAAGATGGCATAGAGAAGGGCAAAATAATGATATACGGCCAATCATAAGGAATTGCAGCTTTGTACTAGTTGTAATTGATAATTACCGCAAGATTTCCGCGTCGAAAACAAGATAAATAGTATTTGCGTGATAGTATTAACTAACAATAAGCATTTTGTGCAATTAAGCATTCTCGATTCACGATCAATTCCAGTAGCAACTCTGAGGTCATCATTTACCTACTACTGATACAAAATAATGCTTGTGCTTAATTCCATCAGTATTATCGTTGCTCTTTCTTAGAGTAATGAATTAGTCT